ACACACACTTCTCCTTCTCATTCTGTTTTCATTTACTCGTTCGTTATCTGACCACCTTCAATCTTGTAGGCTACTCACTTCGTTTCTTGTAGCCCTCGAAAGGGTTTTGGAGGTTGATGCCTCGGTGAACGTGAGTTGTTTGGCTTTCTTGTCCGCAGCAGCAGAAAGTATTTTCGAATGTTTGAATTAATCAAAGTGGGTCGTCACCGTCGATTTTCTCTAAGACTTATGCTCCAACACACAGTTGCACGGGGTGCAGAATAGTTTCCCCCCACTTTCGTGAAAGACATCGGGGTACTGCTTTGCCCGGTCTTTAACAGAAATGTTCGTCGATAAATGAGATGGATCAGATCTTTTCATCTTGGTGTTTTCTCTCTCGTGTGAGTTCCACACGTTCACTCTACGGTGTTGTTTACCTTCTGTGATGCGCGAGCTGATGACGTCGCGTCATCATCATCACTACTTCACGTCAACACGAGTTAACTATTTTTCTCTCAACTTTGTGTGCGGCCTTTTGATAAATATGTGGCCTTTTAACAATCTGCACCATTTTGCTGATTATGCGGTAAATTCTGCGATCGCAAAATCGAGTTTTTCTGGAGGGTCTAATTAACTGTGGGTATAAAGGTAGGAACCTATGTTTGTTGGTGAGAGGTTCCGCCGGAAGGCCCATACAGTTTTTGAACACACACGGAGAACACGCACGGACGACACACGGAGAGCACACACACAAACACGGGATTACAAACAAAGCAAAAGGTATTGTGTAAACCATAAATATCGTGTGGTGATTGAAACAAAGAAACCAGTAAAAAAGGGAAATAAATGGACTGTTTCGAACTGACTTTTATTCGGCAGCAAACCTTGTGTGCGTCAATTACAACCACCAAGCGGATCCTCAGAGGCTTAAAGCGTTGGCTTAGCCTCTACAAAAGGTTTCAAGCTGTGAACTGCTCCTAGTAAATGACAATCCCTCATCCTCTCTTTCCATACAGACCAACACTAAATAAAAAACAGACACACTAATTCACACATTAAAGTTAAATATCTAACATGTGTTGTTTAGGTGATAGAGGAGATCGAGGAGATGATGCAGGAGTCTCCGGACCCCGAGGACGATGAGAGCCCCTCCCAGTCCGACCTCTCCATGCTCTCTCAGGACTTCCACTGCCTGAAGCGCTCCGGCTCCAACACCAGCTACGAGGACCGTGAGTGCCCCCGCCGCGTTGATCTTCGATAAGAAAATAAAGCTTGTTGTCCTCTCAGCTGTGCTTTTTCCCTCTCTGCTGCCATTTCACTGTATTCTAAATCACTCAGTGAAGTGTAATGGGTCGCACTGTCTGGAACACGAAGAAACAGCCACACACATATTCTTACGTAACGTGTAACAAAAGCAAACAGCAATTAGGTTATTTCTACTTGTTATATAATCAACAGCGTTTATTTGGCTTGAAAAACTCTTTCTGATGCCAGACAGCTGTAGACGGAGCAGCTGCACCCTCAAGGCTATAGATTTAGTTTCAGATATCTGCATAATCGAACTACAATATGTTATGTGTTAACTAATCAGACATAATCAGTATCATTAAGTGCATTCACAATATTTACACTGAGCTGATTACTCATGCCTGGAGTGACTTACCCTCCAGCCCCCCCAATTTACACCATTTATCATAGACAGCAAATGCAAAAAAACGAAATTATTTATTATTATTATTTTCTCATTTAAAAAAAGTCATGAACGAATATCACAAAAATTAGGTGAACACTCAACTGAATTGCAGCCTTTTTACACAGAGCAGAGAGGGAAAAATAGGTTGTGAATAGCGGTAAAAAGAGTAGTTCAATATAAATAGTGAAAATATACTGATGTGAAAAACAACATTAAAATGATATCCTGTGTTCCAATCAAAGTAACTATCACACCCCTCTCCATCCTCTCATGCTGACCTCCTCCTCTTCCTCCTCCTCCTCAGGCCTGCGTCAGCTGTCTGTGTCCGAGCTGACCGAGACTCTGGAGGAAGTGGAGACGGCCATCCGCCGCTACAGTGAAGAGCTGATCCAGGCTCTGGCCCTGCGAGACGAACTGGACTATGAAAAGGAGGTACTTTGATTTGAATCCTCTTTTAATACTTTCCTTCGCAAACCACAACCAGGCAACAACATAAACTGCATCTGGAGTCTAGTCAAAGCTAAGAACCAGTCAGAAAATCATTAACAGCACTCAGAATCAGTCAGACAATTCCAGTCGTTTTTGGTCGTAAGCTCCAAAATGCTAGTTCTATTTTGAAGAAAACAGCGATTTGAACATCTGTTTAAACAGAGCGCATTGCTCACAGTACACCGGAGCGAGGTCAGTGAATCTCACTTCTTTTTGCTTTATGACGTGACTGTCGCTGGGTATTTTTAACAGCAGATAAAAATAGGTTTCTTTTTAAGTGTTGCATAAAGAGGATGTTGAATCTTGTATTGTCGTTTGATCCTGAAAACCAGCATAAAATAAAAAGAACGTTCTGTCTATTAAACCAGGTGAAGAACAGCTTCATCTCGCTGCTGATCGACGTGCAGAACCGACAGAAGGAGCACCGCGACCTGCTGCGGAAGAAGAAGAAAATCCGAAGCACGACGACAACCGGGCCCAACGGCCGGAGGACCGCCAGCACGCACATACCGGGCACGGTGAGTCATGTGGGGACACGGAAAGGACAAAACATTTTGCCCCGAATGCATCATTATAATGACGATGAGTGAAACAGACACACACTTCTTCAAAGTAGGAGCAGAAACGCTCGATGCATGACTCTGCAGTTTGCATGGTGCTTTCACACCGTGGGCTTCTCTTAAACCTTTTCCTTCCTTTCGCTTCAAATAGAAACCTCTTTACTCTCTTTTTCCTTCCTCTCGCTCCTTGTAGAACCTCACTCTGGAGGGACTCTCCAATGTCATTCAAAATGGCCTCCGTCAAACTTTTGGCTCCACAGGAGGGGACAAACAGGTGCCCCTGCTCTTTCTTTATCCAGCTCATGCTTCTTTCTTTGTCTTTTTATTTTGACCACTTGCATGTGTCCTTCTCCACTGCTACTGCTGGTGTTTTGGTGTCATGTCGGCCATTTGTTTTTCTGTTTTTGGTTGATTTTATGCTCTCTTTATTGCAGTCATGCTTTGTTCTTTATATCTTGATTTCTCTCCATCACTTGTCCTTGATTCATTATGTTACAATTTTTTGTAATTGTTTTGTCAATTTTGCAAATGTTATTGTGTTGCCTTCTTGTTCCTGTTTTAAGCAGAGAGAACACTGTTGCATAATTACTGCTTTCTTATTCAGTAAACATTTAGTCTGCAATATTGAAACCAGCTGCCAGTTAAATACGTGCCTATCTATAAGGATCTTACCTATCATCTGTTCATACATTCATGAAATTGAGATCCTTTTTTAACACTATCTTCCTAACAAAGGGCAATAATTCATTTTTATTCAAATGCTCCACCTGCATGGGTAACATGCATGTATTCGTTGTGCCTTACACTCTCCTCTCTTTCAGTACCTAACCACAGTAATCCCCTATGAGAAGAAAGCCGGCTCCCCTCCGGTAGATGACCTTCAGATCCTCACAAAGAGTGAGTATATCAACACCCTCACAATAAAAAAACACACCTACTGGAACCTGATGAAATGAGTTGCTATAATCTCTGCAGCTGTTTTTTAAAGCAATTTTTCTTCGTTTTGCCTCGGCACTTTTTAATGTTTTCTATATGTAATGTGCTCCTTTGTCTTTCCTAGTTCTCCACGCCATGAGGGATGACAGCGAGAAGGTCCCAGCTCTGCTAACAGACTACATCCTCAAAGGTAAACACACAGCCGTCCTCTATTAGCTTGAACTGCTTCCTCACACGTTTGATATCAATGTGAGGGGTTTTCACTAATATCAAGGTGGAGCAATGTAAAAAAAAACTCAAAGCAATGAAAAGTACTAAAGCCCTAAGGGGCAAGACAATTCCGGGCATAAGTATTACAATAACAAACACACCAAACTCTGGTGCTCCATTTTCTAAATTGGATCTAAATAGTTCTCTGTTTTGTGGGTATGACTTAACAACAGGTGGAAAAAAGGTTTAGCTAGCATCTTATTCTCATAACTCTCCGCTAAATTCGTTACATATATTGTGTGTTAGCATGTTAGCAAATGTATTTAAACCATATCAATGTGCATTCCTTGTCTTTAGACTGTATAGAGTAATTAAAACTCAGGTGGAAGAAAACGTGAATGCTTTTAGTCCATCGGATTGTGGTGCCCTTGAACCCCTTGTGGACAACATATGTATTACAACAACACACACATTTAATTTCTTTCTCTCCTCCAATTTTCAAAACTCCAAAAAAATCATCCTGGTTAAACTACTTTGTCACGTATTCCTGAGTCGATGCCCTTCAAGACATCCATAGAAAACACGTCCCAAATGTGACTTTAGAGAGAGTTAAGAGGTGGTTCCACTTGACATCTTGCTTGAAAGAGGAAGTACAACATGTTCTATTTCTAGGGAAGTCAACAGTATAATGAACCAGGATGCCCCGTAGAAAAGTAGCACTCTACACAAGCGATAGTAATCGGGAAGGTGGGGGAAATGCTTTTCTTGCCACCCTTCACTTTTGACCTGTACCTTCCTTGTCTTTCGTCTGTGCTGCATTGTCTTCTGGGTAGCTCTGGTATGAGAGCAGTGGAACCTGAGGTTTGTGAGGCACTGACACAACTAACACAGATTCTCACCTCCAGTCTTCTTCTTCTTCAGAGCCCCCTTTTTTCTCTTTCTTTCTCTCAGTCCATCTTCGTAGGCCCCCCCCCCCCTTCAAAAACAGCCGCTCTCCCCCACTCACTCTTCGCTGTAGTGCCTATCGTGCTGTGGCTGCATTACACCTCCCCTGAAACACGTGAAAACACTCATGCACCTAAATTCCTCCGTTTTCTGCGAGCTTGTAGCGGCAGCTGTCTGCTCCTCACCTGTTTTTCTTCCTCTTCTCTCACCCCACATTTCCTCTCCGTGGTAGTTGCTCTTCCATCATTAACAGCTCTCCTTCATGAGCGAATCAAAACAGCCGTAACTTTAAGCACATCTCTTCTTGTCTCCGCAGTGCTTTGTCCCACGTAAAGCCAGCTTCCTGTTTCCAGAACCATCCGTAGGACCATCAGAAGGAGGTTCTGCTAATCTCGAAGATAATGGATACAAAATATGTCTTTCCTCCATGTTTTTCCAACACATAGACTTTCTTTCCTTGTGGCATTTCTGTTTTTTTCTCTGCCACCTTTGTTTTTCCTAAGATTTTAACTCTAGATATAACTCCTCACTCTGTATAGTTATTTTCATTCTTAATCAGTGCTAGGACCCTGTATATCCGGACTGCATGCTGACTTGTCTATGAATGCCAGCAATCAGTATTATTAGTCACTTCCTTATTGGCCCGTGGCACTTGAATGGAGAAGGGTCAGGTGTATTGTAATCCCTGGGCTTTGTCTTTAAGGGAAAAGCAGTCCAATCTGTCTGTTTTATGAAACGCATTTGTATCATCTTATGCATTGGGGGAATACAAATTCTGTCAAAATGGCTGATTGACTGCATAATGTCGGGGTTAAGCATACCCTTTAATTTAAAATCCAAACTCGTGATTTAACTGGTCTTTTGCATGTTGGTTTTCTGTTAAAGCTCAATTTTGGCTTTTGGAATGTTAAAAATGAAATATTTTGTATACGATTAAGAGAAATTGCACAGTTTTTAGGAACTTTTATTTTTTGAAAGATTGAAAAAAAGGTAAAACGACGTGAGAAAGTAATAGCTGGATGAGCAAACTTGTAAATCATATTTTTGGAGATGGAATTGTTTTTAAAGTGAGATTAGGGACTTTCCACCTTTTGTGACCACACAGCAACACCATTTTGTAAATGCTGTCCATTGACCTCTGAGCCCTCGAGTAGCGACCTCCCCCCCAACAACTTTATCACTTCCCCAGAAAGTCGTCATAACAATGCGTCTAAAAAATACCTCGTATAAAATGTTCGCATAAGTAGAAAACGTATCATTTAGGTAAATAGTGTTGTTAACATTAGGTTTGATAATTGTGTAGTTAATCTTCTGTTATAAGTGGGTTTTCTCTGACTGTTAACCCTTTAACTGTTGTGGTAGCACTTTAGTCTATCAGTGATCTGGTCATGTAGTAGTGGAATATTTGGTGAATTTATGAACAGTACGTCTCGCTAGATTAGCGTTAGCTAGCAGTGCCAAAACATGAAGGGTTGTTGTCATGCGTCCAACTGTTTACCCTGCAAGTCTTCACAAGGAATTAAACCAGCCTTAAAGGGGTACTCCACTGATTTTACACCTTAAACATTTCATTCAGAGCACTACTCACCCTGTAAAAACAGTTAAAAAGTTTGTCGTCTACATTTAGGAGTAGATTTTCTAAGGAAATGACCCAATGATGTCATGGTGATGTCATCAGGTTCATTTTGATTTGGGCCTGAAACTACGACACAACAACCTTTGTTACAAACTCAGTGCACCAACGGATTAACTAAACCAAAACACTACAGAGTTCCATTATGGGAAATGTAGGATCCAGTGAGTGTTTTAGCTCGGCACATGGTACGGACTAGAAGTCAGAACATTTCTAACATCTATAGGCTCTTATTTTTGTGTCTATTGCAAGTCTACCATCATTAGAAAAGTGCCATACTTAATCACTGGAGCGCCCCTTTAAAACCTTGTACCGCCAACTAGCACAGCGTATGTGTCGCTACGCTAACGTTCAGATAACCAGCTACTACCGGTGCACCACCCAGCGTCAACATCAGGTCCAGTCTAGCTCTCAGGTACGATCATCAGTGTTACTAGTTTAAAATCTTCCTCTGAAAGGTACTAACATTCCTGAGTCTTTGTAATGTTTTGGCAACAGGTATATTAGCTAGACTCTGCTGCACTTCTATCTACAAATGATACCTGGATGAGCCAGTGGAGTTAATTATCTTGACTAAACCAGGTTAACATTACAGATGTTGATAATGTCGTGATTTGTCACTTAATTTAGTCCTAGAATAAGCTTAGTAATGATATTAGTAGTAGTGGTAGGTGTAGCTAGCATTTAAGCGGCTCAGTAGCATCCACTTGGTGTAGCAGTTTAGCGACGATAACGCATCTAAACTTTGTAGGAAAAGGTGAAACTGTTATGAAAAAAGGAATTTACTTCACTGGTTTAAACATTCTTAAGCATGTTTCTCATGCATGCTTCCAGGTGAAAATGGTGTAGGAAGATGACGAAGGGGTGTGATAAAGTTAGCAAACATTTGGGAAGAGTGCACAACCGGTTGCTGAAATTCGAGGGGTCCATTTTTATCTTTTGTAAAAGAAAACAAAAGCTTGCAGTGCTATATTTAACTATTTATATGTGACTGTTGTTTCTGCTGTTCCCAGCTTTGTACACATTTTTACCCTAGCATGTGCTACAAGCACTTTACTGCTGCACACACATTTCTAAGAATGGTTAATTTGTTTACAGAGGTATAACGATCACACTAAAGGGACAAGTGCATGTCAAAAATTGAATGCATAAAGCATTAATTCAAACTATTTAGAAGATATCGAAAAAGGGCATTTATACAAAAAATTGTTGATCCTTGTCTTTTAAAAAGCTTAAATAACCTTTCATTTTATAACGAAACGGAAAGTCACTGGAGGCTCTGGATCCCATCTCAGGCCATAAATCTGTTAGCGGACATATCAGTGTAACTACAATTTAGAGATCTATATTTATACATGCACGACAGAACAAGCAAACGGAAAAAGGCTGCCTTTGTAAATGCCTAAACATTTTTGTACATTAAACCATATCCTTTTTGTTTTAATGCAATATAATTCCCCGATTGGAGGTTTTATGTTTACCGTCTCATGTGGTACTGCAGTATATTAATTTATTATGTAAATGTTCAGTTTTGTTACCATATTATTGACTGTAATGGTACAAGTGTTTTGTGCCCACATTGCATTGCAACTCAATTGAAAATAAATGAATATGTGAACACTGTGGTTTCAGCTTACTGTGTGTTTGTGTAAAATGATTATCTTATTATTCCTTTATAAATTATCTCAGGGAACATTTTCTCATCCTATAAAGGAATGCTTAATATCAGCTGATACAGTGACAATGGTGACATGAACCCAGTTACAGTTGTTTTAATCAAAAATAATTATAATAAATAATTTTGATTAATTAAAGTTTCCTCTGGTTCACAGACATGTTTTGCTTTTTCACTAACCAAAAAATAGAGCTTTTTGCAAATGAATGTGTCTGTAAAATAAGTACGTCCCCCTCCAAACAATCTGAAATAGATTAAACAGAATGTCCTTCTGCGTCTATATACAGTATCTTTGCTTTTTCTATTTCCTAATGTGTGCTCACAGTTTATATCCTAAGCAAAAGCAGCTGCTTCCTCTCGACCAGCTTTGCTCTAAAATATCAGGACTGTCTCATCCTCGCTTCCTTTCTCCTCCCAGTTGCCACAGTTACTCCAGTGATTTGTCATGAGTCTTTTTTATCTGCATTTCTCATTTCCGGAAAAAAGGAACTCCACCTCGAACTGTGTCTGAACCGGATTCTGAACCGTTTACAGCTATCTAGCAGGCACAGTGACACTTTGACTGGTTGTGTCCTGTCAGGGGTCAAAGGTCAGCCCGGGTCACAGGTTGGTGTCAGTGAACATGGTGTGCTCCTTCCTCACCGTGCTGAAACCTTTGACAGTGTCAACAAATTCCTCATCGTCCATGAACTGCAAAGGAGAAGGACAGAGCTTTTTAAACATGAGTCAGCAGTTTAATTCAAGTCACTTGGAGTTGTTTTGGCAGGACAAAAGACTATAGAGATAATTTGTGTGTATGTGTATCTTTCTCTCTCTCTCCACAGCTAATCTCCCATACTACTTGACCCATTAGCTTAATATTCGTTATGCTCATTTATGACTGTACCCTCAAGGACCTCTTGTGGTTGCGTTAATTCACATTTTTTGAGAAGCATATTTTATTAACTTTTTTTATACCTTCATTGACTGCTGACTCCTCTTAACCAGCCACTGATCAACACATGCTTCAGTAACAAAAGGCATTCTACTTGACAAGGCATTACATTTAATTTAGCTGACTCAAATTGACTTACAATTAGTGTAATAAACTATACCATTTTATGTGCTACATACATTTTTCATTATATTTTGATGGCCAAGTTGCATTTGAAATTTCCGGCAATAAACTAGGCTAAAAACCAGCCTTTTGGAGCCTGTTGTAGGCCAAATATAGCCTTTTGTTTTGATACCCATAGAAAAGTTTGGTTTCATTTGAACCGGAGCATCTGTGGATTAACTCCACATTGGATATGTTATGATCAAATGCTGTTTTTGTTTACTTGGTTCCATCTTGACAAAGAGAGACACAACTGGCAGAGATTTACACTAACATTTATATTTACTGTATAACTCTAACTTCTAGAATCCCTATTTCCCCCTTTTTGGTACATTAGCGTGCAGCTGGGAAAACATGTTTTGAAAATGCTCTGAATTAACAGCACACAGTTAACTCTGTATGTGACCGTGGTGGGAGCATTGTCTGATATAATATCGTAGTTTAATAATGTTTGGGGGTCTCTCACCATCCCACTGTCATGGCCGGATATGTTTGGGTCCCACGTGTCGTCGTCCCCTGTGAGGGACTTCCCGTCCATCACCTGGCTGACGCTGCGCCTCAGGGAGTTCACGCTGAGGATCCCCAGCTCACCCTGAGGTGCCTCCTCATCCATGGGCTCACATTTAACCTCCAGCACTTCCTGTTGGGAGCGGAGAGAGAGGGCTGTTACTGCCATGCACGTGTGCGGGTACACTTTTTTTAATATGTGATGATTTTTACCTCTAACTTCATGGTGAAGCCTTTCAGTGTTACACTGTTGGAGAAGCCTGCTGTGTCAGGCACAGCGTCAAACTGAATAAAAAGATAGCAAATGTATAATACATAAATAAATAAATTAAGCAGGTTCATTCTTTATATAGTAAATAGGGATTAGTAAATAAATGTGTCCTCACAAAAACAGAGTTGCTGGCAGGATAAACAGCTATGGGGTTCCTCCTCTTCTGAAGGGGCAGGGACACCAGCGGGGGTCTCTCTCTGGTGAAGGGGGGCTTGTTCAGGGCCTGCAGGGAAAAGACAGATACTGACCTGTACTCAGGGTAGAAAAAAACCAAGTACATTTACTCAAGTACTCAAATATTGAGTTTTTGTTCACTTTTTCCAGGATGGAAAAGTACTCAGATTGTGTACAGTAAGTAAAAGTAGAAGTACCAGAGTGTAGTAATACTCTTACAAGTAGCACTTTTACTAAATGTTACTCAAGTAAAAGTGCTGATGGCAAAAGTATTGGCATCAAAATATACTAAAATTACCAAAAGTAAAAGTACTCATTATGCTGATTGGCCCATTTCACAATCATATATGATTTGTTTGATTATAATTATTCATGTAATAAAGTGTTTATCAAGCTGGTAAAGATGGAACTAATTTAAATTACTTTATTTACTGCAGGGTAGCATGTGAATCCTATTATTTATAGTACTATTTATTTATAGAGAAGTCCTATTGAAGTGTTGATTCTATTATTGATCATTTTTTCTAATCTATATCTAACTAAGTAACTAAAAGTACTACACAAATGTAGTGGGGAAAAGTACAATATTTACCTCAGAATTGTAGAGGAATACAAAGAAACATGAAATGGAAATACTCCAAAAAAGTGCAAGTATGTCAAAATGGTACAGTACTTGAGAAAATACTTCCCACCACTGACTTTACTTGAGTAATTAAATGTTAAACTACTTTCTTCTACTCCACTTCATTCCAGAGGAAATATTATACTGTATCTTTACCAAAGTGCATTCATACAGCTTTAGTTACTTTACAGGTTAAGAGTTTACAAACAAAATAAGCATTTATAAAATATGATTACAGATTAAACAGTACATAACTGTGCCCCACCTTCACCATCTTAACGGTCCCTTACCTTATGGAGCGTGACCCCCAGCACGATGGCGAGCAGCAGCAGGGCGACGGCTGCCATCACCACGATGAACCACAGCTCTCGGATCAGAGGCTGTCCTCCCTGCCCCCCCTCCGCCCGCTCACCTCCACCTCCCCCTGCAGGAGGAGTGAGGCTCCGTGAATCTGAAGGGGAACAAAACATTTGGATCTTGATAGACATTATGACACCCAGAATAAAGTATGTAAATTATATTACTATTAGGGAGTTTTAGCATATATTTAACAACAATGCTACGTCCTTTTTCTGGACTACAGAATAAGGATTATTACCTGACGCTATTTTAAAAACCAGATGAAATTTGTAAGACAATTTTCATATAGGCTAATTTTAAATAAATGGTGTATCTGGATCCTTTAGACATTGTTATCCAAAGCTACTTACAAAATGAACAATCAACCATTAGCAAACAAATGTAGAACAGCCCGAATCCTGCAAATAGGCTACATTAGCTTCAAATTGGTCAAACCATTTTAGAGGCTAAATTCAGACATATATTTTTTATACACAGTTTTTGTTAAAATATATTTAACTTGCCAAGGTGCAGAACATATACATTGCTCCGCTAAATGTCTCTTATTCTGGTTGTAAGTTTTGTATTTAGACTTCTCGTGGGTTCACATTTGATAGGAATACATCACTCAAGTCTCTGTTAGATAGAAAGGCGATCACATGTGCTGTAGAAGAGATAACACTGTAACCAGAGACATACTTGATCTCATAGCCTAGTTTTTACCCTGCAACACACTCCTTAACTCCAGCCACTTTTTTATCAACTCCTTCACACCTCTTAAGTCTTGAACATGTAGAGTTATACCCTGAAGTCAACATAATGAATATAACAATGCAACTATTCCTGCATCCAACAAGACAGTATGAATTCTTATGAACAGAAGGAGAAAAACAGGTAAGAGTTTGGAGGGGCTGATGGGAAATAAATAAATGTGTCCACACAGAGACTCACCAGTACTGAGGTCCGTGGTTCGGCCTGATGCAGGGGTGCTGGCAGCCCCTCGCTGTGTGACACATCGATCTGAAGGGCAAAGACCTGTGTTGCGTTTAGGATCGCACCTGTCAGCCCATCAATATTTCACAATTCACACCACGATGCGTTCACATGCTGAACGTACACAGGGCAGGAGAGACTTTAGACAAACATCCCCATGTCCTGTTCCCTGAGGCGAGTGTTTCCTGGAGAGCACAGGGTTCAAAGATATGAGCTCGAAAAAAGTGTCTCGCAGGAGTGTGTGTCCTTCTCGAGACAGAACTCCCTTTGCTTTTTTTTCAGCAGCGCCATGGCAACAGCCAGGTGTCAGGTGTCAGTTTACCTGCAGAATGGTCGTAACCATACCACCCCTCTGATGCAGTTCTTTATCATTTCTTATAGGAATAAATGCCCTATGGGTCTTGTGTTTACTTCTTACTGTATGATTAATGTTGAAAAGAAGGTAACAGCACTTAACATTCCCAGAGTCAATGATGTCTTACATTAATGCAGGAACTCCTCAGTGAGGTCACACAACACTGTAGGTATTACATTTCATGAAAGCATGTTGCATAAAAGGAAATTACCTGAAAGAATAACCTACTTTATTACATTTCAGAAAACATATACTTATTTAGGGGCTCAAACAGACATATAATAGAGTATGGAATCCATTTCTTAATCTTTTTAGAGGGAAAATACTGTGCAACCTTGAGCAGCTCTTTCTACACTGCACAATACTCAACTAGTCAACTTGTTTCCATTTTTATGTTGCACTTTTATTTATTAGTTTATTATTATGTTTGTTCTGTTCTTTATTGTCTTTCACATAATATGTCAATGACTATAATCATGGAGTATTGCAGGTATTTTAAATCACAATATCACAGTAAGAAACAAACACATGTGGATATGTTTTATGAACGAATCAGCAGTTTTATTATTGATATGTCTCAATTTCTCTTAATAGCTTCCATATTATGTAACCCTATGACTCCAGATCGATGCAGCAGTGTAATATATACTGGACGAGTAAGACACAACTACTTTTAGAGTGTTAGTGTTTCATTCTTTATCTATTTCTATATGCAATGAGGTGAATAACCACATGATGGCGCTAAGCAGCTGCTGTGTTTCCCATTATGAGTCAATGGCAGCAGAGACACCAAAACTAGTCTGGTATTCGATTCTTCTATAGGCATGAAGTACAACACTTTTGAAATGAATACATATTTGCGTATTCATATAAAGAAAAAAAAGACAGCCATATTTTAAAGAATTCTAATTGGTAATCAAATGTAATGGTAAGGCCACATTGAAGCTTATTGTAATGTCTTAGACCAGGGGTGTCCAAACTACGGCGCGGGGTCCAACTGCAGCCCGTCGTCCATTTTGAATTGGCCCTCATCAAATTCGAAAATCGTAGTGGAATAAGGCCCACACATGAAACTTGTGCTTGTCTTATGTGGTAATTCTTAAATATATGCAAACATATACTACACAGTATAGTATTAATGTTTCAATAAGCTCACTTTTCAAATAAATTCAGTCAATTTAAGTTGAAAACGTTTTTTTCTAACAAATCTTAGTTCATAAAAAATAGCCCAATAACTTATTAACATTGTAAGCTTGAAATACACCCTTCCTATTCCCCCTTATTATAAGCAATCTGACGCTTCTGTTTTAAGATATGAGATGGAAACACCTTTTGTAATAAAATAAATAATCCTATGGAAAGCTGTGATGTAGGCTGTTTCTTAAAACAGAGTATGAAGAATACTTTACCTACATTTGATTGATTTTGCTAACTTATAACTTAACTTATGAGACATTATACCTCTAGTGAGGGGCCCAGCCCTTCATATGTTTTTCTGTATATGGAAAACATGTTGGACACCCCTAGCTGTCTAAGACCTAAAACAATGTAGCCCATTACAAAAGCGTTGTATGTGAAACCCAGCATTGCTTTAGAACAAATTTGAGCATACGTTACATCATAATGTTTCCAAAGTGATTATATAACATTCTTTTTAATCTTTGAGCCATCGGTCCCCAGGTCCAGACATCAGCACTCGGTATGAGCGGAGGCCCCCACATTAACTAATTTGATTTATTTTTTACAGAAAAGCTGCCCATAGTCTAATACTCTAATCAGCATTCATACCTTGCCATGATGATTCGGGACAATGCTTTTTTATTGAGGAAATGATCTCACCCTTGAGTGCCAGAATCAGCCTTTTTTTACAGCCCATATCCTCAGGGCCTCATCCATCACCGAGGTGTCTGGGCGACACGGCCTCTAGACACACACTAACTCATTTAAGAAGAGGGACATGCAGGAATATATCACTCAAGATCACTAACTCACTTACTGACGGCTCAAACATCTTTGTGAGTTTTAACCACAGGAAAATAAAGACATTGTTTTCTGCTGACAGATGAAGGACGAATGGGTTCCCTTTGGATTTGTGTTTATCTTTCTATTCAATCATCCATTTTTATTCTTCATTGTCTCCTCTCCTCTTCTTAAACGTACAAATAAGATCACAGGCTTCATGTTACAGAACCAATCGTGACTGATTGCCCCTAAAGGCTGCACCTCTCTCCAGTTGATATTTCCTTTATCGACTGCAAACTCAATCAAAAAGCATGTAATCCCACAAAATATCTTCTTCTTTAATCCCCGGTCTAACAAAAGCAGAGTGCTGCTCATCATCTCAATAATTTACAATTACATTTTCAAAATGATTGCTGTAAAACCTGGTTGTAAGAGACATTTGAAACACTTGATTTGAAACATCTACTGGATCTAGCAGCAAGCAGCATATAAACAAGCAAGATACTGCTGAAAGCAATGGAAGAAATCTAGCAAGGGGACCTTGAGTTAAGATTTTATTTTTCTGAGGTGCAGAATAAACCTTCAAGCTCAATATTTCTTAATTTGTTTGATAGATATTTATTCAAACGGTTCTAAACCTGCCATTGATTTGTCACTGTGTATAAACCATAGCAGTTTGTTCCCTTGTATTTGTCTTTGTATGTCATTTTATAAAAATCATCATAAATGTATCATTTATCATATTAATGGACACTAAAAACATGTATGTAACAATATGAACATTAAAGGGGATATATCAAGCAATTTTTTGGGTTGATAATTGAATTTGAAATGCTTTTTTTGTTAAAAAAACACCTTTTTTCTCATACTGTCTGAATAAACCTGTGTTCACCCTCAATCTAGAAGCTTAGTTTTGGCCCCTGTCTCTTTAAGTGTTTTATCCTAAAAAGCCTTGCCCTGATTGTTCAGTGTATTCACGTGCCTTGATCCCTGCCGAGTCGACGCACAACTGTTGATTGGTGTCAGTGCCAACAAAACTTTTTAGGAGCAATGCGCTCATGTGGCTCATGTGGCGCATACATCTTAGTTCCTACTCTTTTCCCTCACCCTATCCTAAGGGAGTGCATGTACGTAGACACGTTGTGCCTCTCAGACTGCCAAGGGCACACAGGGGGATAGGTATCCTACTTACTTTGCTAGCCCATCTCCCCTCAACGCCTATCCTAGGGAGTCAGCGCCCCGGTTCTACGGGGGCGCATAAGGGTCGCACCTTGCACCCTCAGTTGAGTGTNAAACGTAGGCCACCTTCCACCTCCTTATATGGTCGCCTCTGTAGAGAAACTGCTGTCTCTGCTTCCTGACTTTGAGCCAATCAGATTACACAGAGGCTGCTCCTTAGACATATGTCGATAAAGTGGTGCAGGGAAGCCGTATTATGTAGGCCAGCCTGGGAGTTCAAATCAAAAGGGCTGCCTCAGCAAAAAGCCAATGAGATTTTTCCACTGGATCTCAGAATACTGCAGAAAAAAATAAGATCTGTGGCTAATAAACGTTTATGAGACTAATACATTTTGTTCAGCAGGATAATCTCAACATATTGACACCACTTTTATGATTTTTAGAGCGTTAATGCAATTAACCAGAGGTAAAAAGCTAATGTTAGGCTATAAAGGAACTACAGCATGGTCACATGACTTCACGTCACCACCGCTAAGCCAAAGGAT